GTTTTCTGTCTCGTAGAGACTCGCTAATCCACACCACCACCCTGGAATCGATGCCTGAATTCATTACTTTCTGAACAAGCCGATGGGGAACGACATCGAACGGTTTGGCAAAAACTATAACTATTGCGTCTCCCGCCAGCGTCAATTTCATCAGCTAGATCCTGAAATAATGCGACTACCTGACTTTCGCATGAGTAACCACTGCTGAACCCGTGTTGGCCATCATAGAGCCATTTTTTGATTTCCCATTCTCGCTTAATGTAACTCGCGACTAGATGCTCCATAAGTTTGCAGACGTAAGAATTTCCGGCCTATAATTACTTAATATAGTTTTGTCACCACTTTTAAAAATTGGTACGGCAAAAGCTAATTTCCAATCTTCAGGTACTTCAGAATTTTTCATGGATACGTGAAATATTCTAATTACGTACAGTAACATTACCTCTCCTCCTAGTTTAATTATATGCGTAGAAATGTCGTTTGGCCCCCTTGACTTACCATTTTTCATAGATTTTACTTTATTCCGTTCAACGTTTACTTCAATATTAAACTGATTTCTAATCGAAGACCTTTGAATTAGCTGATGGTTCACACAGGTTTTGAAAACCGAACTGAAATGCTTATAAAACGCGTTTGCTTTTGCCCGAGCGTCAGTAATGAGTGAGTTTCTATTTTCACGAACAACTGTGATATCCTCTTAATGTCCCTTCCTTCTACGAAAATATTTATAAAATCCTGTCCAGTTATTTCCCTTTCCATCTAGAATATTCTTTAAATATGCCTCCTGAGCAACTTTCATTGATCGCTCCAATTCTTTTGAATGATTTCGAAAAATATGCATATGCTTGCTAACGCGTTTTCTGTTTTTAAATTCCTTTTTCGTTATCCTCGTTATTCGCCTAATTTTTGCATTGTAGTATTCTGGATCAAGATTATTTTTTTAAAATTTTGCAAAGCTTCATATATAGTATCTTTGAACGCGCTCCATATTTCTTTCATACCTCCCTCTGTGCTCAGAAAGCGGTTGTACTGTTCCCTAAAAGAACCTTGAAGTTCGTCTACATTGCTTTCCTGATTTGCCGTACATTTGTTCCTATCGTAATGCTTTTCCTTGAAATATTTTCGTCTAAGTCAAGAATAACCGCTTTGTGATCGCTAATGCCTTCAACAACTTCACAAGGTATGAAAAGTTCTTTCGGCCTAATTCAGGTCATATTTATGAATGTCTGCCAGGAACCTGCTTGGCCTAGGTGGCTGCCAGTGGTGGGTTTTGCGATTAATGGTTAAATTAACAGTGGAAAATTAACTGTCCCCAGCGCTACATGGCCCTCAGCATGCTGCCTACAGCGGTCCTTTGCTGGCAGGGGCATGTTGGTGCTGCCAGCCCCCTCCAGCCTGCCCCCAGCGTGGCTCACTCGTGTTTTTACTCCCTCCGTGTGTGGTTGTGTTGTACTATATTATTATTCTACCGACTTTGTTTGATTTTTGGACTCTCTTATTGATTTACGACCTAGCATACGCTATGGACATCTCAACAGGATATATAGCGAATTTTAGCTTTCTCTATGTACCATTCCTTATAAACGGCAACATAACCTTCACATTGACGTGAAATTTGATTACGACCCTGCTAACATTTTTTATACCAAGGTAATTCACTAAACAGCAAGGTTTCATATGTATCTTGTGGATTGAGTTTTGGCTTTGAATATTGGTTTTTCTTTGCGGACATGGTATTGTTTCAGGATATGGATGACTTTTATGAATTTTACGAATTTGTGCAGGATGTTGTGGAGAGAAGGAGACGACTGCCTGGGTGGCATATCCGCGATTTGGCAAATCCATTAGAACATTTGTTAAAATTAGAAGTATTTTTTCCATGCCGAAATCTTTGCAACATTTGTTGTTGCAGCACTTTTTTTAATCACTACGTCCTTCATTTTTCGAACCTCCTCCTCCAGAATTGCCTTCTCCGTTTCGGTAAAGGGCGGACTCTTCTTCGGATTGTCAAAGATTGTATTCTCGGAAATTTTATAAATTCTTAAGTAAACACACTCGCAAAATTTCCCACCACTCTACTACGCCAGCTAACGTGGAACTGATATTTCCGTGCAATGTGTGACCACGCCGAAAATAGCGGGACACTATGCAAAAGGAAACAATTGAATTCTTGCATGAACTCTCACAAGGTAAAACTATTCATATATCAAAGTAATTTTCCCGATAATGACATGCACGATGTATTTACATATAGCCATAAATTTATAAACGATAATGTATGACGAAACAAACAATCCAATAATTTTTTCTATCTATCTATTTAGCGTTTTTTTACAGCCTTGGCAATTTTCTGCATCCCAATGTCCATGCCTCTTTATCCCATAGATCGTTTTCGTCCATTTCTCTTTTTTCCATGGCTTCAGTTATTGCCATGTTACATGCTCTTCTCGATCTTCCCATGTTTCTTCTTCAATTTGGTATCCACTCCCAAACTTTTTGTGGAAGTCTATCCGATTTCAACCTTCTCAGATGTCCATACCATTTTAATTGTTTCATTTCGATCGTCTTGTTCAAGGTTGTTTGCACTTTCATTTTATTTCTTATTTCATCATTTCTTATTTTACCTAACAGAGAAAGTTTACACCTTCGCCATAACGCATTTCTGTTGATTGAAGTTTGTCTTTCAATTTTTTTCTTAGTGCCCAGACTTCTGCCCCGTAGAGCGTGGTGCTCTCTATGAAGGAGCTATATATGCGTTCCTTTGTCTTCATTGAAATAATCTAAAAACATTTTTTTTCTGCAACACTTGCATCGTCTGTTGGAGCATAAATTCCGGTAATAAAAGCATTGCGTCCTCTTAGTACAAGATCGTGACATGCTATTCTCTCATCAATTGCTTCCCAGCTATGAATATTTTTCTCCAGTCATTTATGTTCAGCTATAGACACTCCTGCTCTTGCACGCTTTTCTTTTCCCACTCCACTAAAAAAGTGAACATAATTTCCTTTCTTTTCATTTCCATTTCCCTTCCTTTTTGTTTCACTCAACACTAGTGTATATCCATATTAAACTCCTCTATTGCGTTAAAAACTTAATTTACTTTAGTGCTTAAACCTTGAACATTCCAGCATCCAAAATACATAGACCATTTTCTTTGCCTTTGTCGACGTCGTGAGTTAATCCGAGGCTCATTTCCATTGAGAGTTTGAGCGGCTTTTTTTTTTATTTTCCTAGTATGGGGGTGCTGGCCCCATGCCTCAACCCCCTTCCAGGAGGACCGGATAATTTTCTTTTAGGGTTTTCTTCCCTTAGATTGAGTGTCTTCCACGACTCCGGAGTTCAGTCTACCCCTATTTGAAGCATTTCTGCTTCTGAACAGGAAAAAGGGAATGGTTAGGATACCCCACGGTTAGAAAACGGAAGTCTCCGAGCTACTCAAAAAAGTCATTGGCTCCCGGGCTTCAGGAAAGGATTTTAGGTAAGAAGGATATCTTACAGTTGCGGACAGCGGTCATCCACTCCTTTCTAGGTAGGGGAAACCAGGCTAAGTGCTGCATTCCCCACCTACCGGTAAGGAGGTGCAGGGCGATGGGGTCGCTACATCCCTATGCCTTATTGTTTTATGTTAACATTAATTGGACAGTAAATAATGGCTTACGAATGCGTAATAATGGTACCACTCGCTCGGGGATTTCCTTGTTTCCGACAACGTTGCCAGTGAGCCCCCAAACCAGCTTCCAGAAAGCTGCTACCTGGGAGAGACGTCCTAAAATTCCTGCCGCTTACAGATGGCAGACGCCTGGGCGCTCTGCTGGCAGAGATTTATTAATCCCATGTCCCAAACCACACCGTTCACAAGTGTTTGGACATTCCCATCGCCCACGGCTCCCTCCCAATTTGCGCTAGGAATATTTAAGTCTCCTCCAATTACAATAGGATTGCCATTCTCATTTCCCTGAATGATGTGATCTAAAATGTCGTATTCGACGTTCGGGGGTCTATAACATGCAATCATCTGTAATATGGTTCCTGAAGTAGTAATTTCTATTCCCATCATTTTAAACTCTATACTGACCCAATCTAATCTAATATCCATATCTGCACAGACGCAAATAAAAACTCCGCCCCCTCCCCCCTACCATTGCTGCCCCTCCTAAAGATCTTGTGATGAAAATTTCCTCAGTTAGCCACGACTCAGTCCCTATCATTATGTCGGGATAGCAGGCATAAACTACATTCCAAAACTTTATTTCTTTGTTGATTATACTACGACAGTTCACCTGCAACAACCAAAGAAATCCTTTCCTCACCTAAATATGTTATCTAGAAGGCGCGTCCCTCAAAGCCGTCGCCGGTGAAGAAAGAGGTACAATTTTTATGTTGCGTTTTTTATTTATGTGTGATTTATGTAAACAACTAAGGTTTTTTTTAGAATATTAAACACAGTTCAATTGATTTCTGTGTTCTTGTTTGGATTTTCTCTCAACACCCAAAAGATCCCATTGCCCAGAAGTATTTCAAAGCTCGCAAGAGCATAATTTCTGCGAATTTTTAACAGGTGTTTAGGAATTCATAGGAATTATGAAATACTTTATTGTTATAATATTGTTATAATTTATTGGTAAAGAAAATTAGAAAAATATCATATTATTGGAGCTATTTGAGGAATTAAGAAATATTATGGTTATAATTTTAATATGACATATGAATGTTATAATTAACAAATTTTTTTCATCAGAAGTAGTTGTAAATTACTATAATATGATTTAAGTGATCATTACTTACTTTCAGTCATCTGATGAATTTTTATTCAATTGATGAAGGTTTTTAAATTGACTATTAATTATGATTGGCATAAATCTTTGGTCGGCATCACATATTTCTCAACATTTTCAAACATATTATCTAGGGCAGTTAATTATAAAATTAATTTGATTAGACATGCAAGTGTTGCATCAGTGTTGACACCAAGGTCAGAAATAGTTCAGGAGTGTATAACATTAGCGGCTGTTATTAATGTTCGAATTTGTGTATTTATTGGTAAAGACTTCAGTTATGAACATCTAGAAAGCGAAAGTATCTAATATTATCTAAGGCATATATATAGGAATCGAATTCAATAATATTTTTAAAATCTATATATTCATACGATCAATATCATTGATGTCCAATTGTTTTTATTATAATTAAGGGATCTATTGTTTATCTAATAGATATAATAATCTTAATTATGGTAATGCAATAAAAATTAATGTAATTACAAGTAAAATGGTTAAAGCAATTTCAATGACATGTCCTTCAAGGAGAAATCGATTAGTATAAGGATTAAAAAATGATAATGTTTTGATATATGCAACGAGAATCATAATTATTAATAGATCTATTAGAGTATGATCATGAAAGAAAATAAATTGTTTTATTAGGGTCGATGAGCTATTTTGTAAATTTTAATTGGATTATGTTGCCCTATACTAAAAAAAGAAATTATTTATTAATGTATCGTAAATTCATTGCCCGTTTCTGCCATATTACTAATTAGAATAGATAATTCTCAATAAGAATATTCTGCAGCAGGAAGATTTTGATACCATTTTATAGATCTATTTAAATTTATTGAAAATGAAAGTTTTTGACTTAAAATTATTCTTTCTCATATAATGAAAATTAATATAATAATACCAATTAAAGATAGTTGAGCATAATGAAGATAAGATATTTCATGAAGTAAAAACATCTGGATAGTGAGAATATTGACGTGATGTTCCAACTAACACAAGAAAATGCTGGGGAAAAATGTTAAATTTACCCTGATAAATATTACTATAAATTGTATTCTTAATCATTTGGAAATATTGTTAGTCCTGTAAACATTGGATATCAATGAATGAATCCTGATATGATAGCAAATACTACTCCTACATGATGAAAGTGAGCTACTACATAATATGTATCATGAAGGATAATTTCAATTGGTGAATTTGCTAAAACATTACCTGTTAAACCTCCAATACTAAATAAGAAAACAAATCGTAATAATTATAGTAGTGAGGACTTATAGGATAGTTGTGAACCATGTAGGGTAGCTAATCAGCTAAAAATTATAATTCCTGTTGATACGGCAATGATTATAGTTACTGAAGTAAAGTATGGCTGAGTATCTATACCAACAGTAAATATGTGATGGCCTCATACCACGAAACCTAATAAACCAGTACCTAGTATTACATAAATTCCCAGAGTACCACAAGCTTCTTTTTTCCTCTTTCTTCACTAATAACATGGGAAATTATTCCAGATCCTGGTAGAATTAAAACATTAACCACTAGTTGCCCAAAAAACAAAAATAAGTGTTTATATAAAACTGGATCTCCTTCTTCTGCGGGATCAAAAAATGTATTTAGATTCCGTTCTGTTAATAATATATTAATTACACCAGCTAGAACTGATAATGATAATAGTAATAAAAGGGCTGTAATTCCAAAGGTTCATACAAATAATTGTGTTCTATCCAGAGATATTCCAGGGGCTCATATTAGTAATTATAGTGGTAATAAGATTTATAGCTCCTCAAATTGAAGAAATTCTTACTAAATGTAATGAAAAGATAGATAAATCAACTGATGCTCCTGCATAAACAATTCTTATTGATAAGGGAAGATAAACTGTTCAACCTGCTCCTGAACCATTTTCAACTATTGTTATGGTTAATAAAAGGTTTAATGATGGTGGTAGAAGTCAAAAACTTATATTATTTATTCAAGGAAATGCTATATCATATGCTCTTAATATTAATGGTATTAATCAATTTCCAAATCACCCAATTATAGTAGGTATTACTGTAAAAAATCATAACAAACGCATGTGTGGATACAATAACATTAAAAGTTTCATCATCTCCGAAAACTGAAAAAATGAGATAACACGGTTGTCCTAGCTCTGTTTGGATTTAAATACTTATAGATGTACCAACTATTCCACGTCAGGCTTCAAAAATTAAGTATAAAGTTCCAATGATTAGTGGAAAATAACCATCGCTGCGGAAAATTGGCTGAATTGGGCCATAATTGTAAATATTTTTGTGAAAAAAAATTTCCTATATCGTGACTTTATACTCAATAATGATTTTAGACTACAATTCTTAAGGTGTAATATTTACAAAGGCTTAAAATATAAATTTCATTTTCAGCTTTGAAAACTAATAGTTTAATTAACTTAAGACCTTAAATTCTGAAAAATATAATTGGATTTAAAGGTAGAAGAAATAATAAAATTCTTGTTAATAGGGAAATTAAGCGGAAATTATCAAATTTCTTCTTTGATTGTTCGTGTTTTCACTTTAATTGATTTTCATTAATTAGAAAGGATGATATAATTAGTTGTAAATAATAAAATAGAGTAATTAATGTAAATAGAATTATAATTATGATAATACCAGAAATTCCATTTCATTATTACTTTAATTTTGATTGATTAATATGAATTTGGGTAAAAATCCTAAGAAGGCCCCCTAATGATATTAAGCTGATTGAAATAAAAAAAATTGATTGTTGATGAGATTCATCTAAAAAGGATTTGATTGTAATGTTGGGATAATACATTAGAGAAGATTAGAAGAATACTTGCTGGCAAAAGAATAAATATTGAAGTAGAATTGTCATAAGTTCTCTGATATTAGGAGTCCTAATAGTCTTCAAACAATGTGATTGATGGAGGAATAGGGTATAATTTTCCATGTTGATGTTTGATTTAAGCCACCAATTGATTGAATAAACGTTGATGATAATAATACGAGTATAATGATGGGTAGATAATATGATAAGTAGGATAAAATAATAAATGGAGTTAGTTTTCTGTCATGTTATTAGAATAAAACAATTTAATCATGATAAGCCTTCTTTTACAGAAGGAAATCATAGATAGAAAGGCGCAGTACCTATTTTTAAAAATAAGGTGATGGAAATGATTGAAATAATATTTTCTTTTACAAGATATGTAATGAAATTCAAAATAATAAAAGTTAATAATATTGATGAAGCTGTGGCTTGAATGATAAAATATTTTATGGCTGCTTCTGTTGATTTTACATTATCTTTTAAAGATATTAATGTAATAAAGGCTAATAAATTGATTTCTAATCCAATCATGTGGCTGGTCATGAATTGAATATAATAGAAAATATTGTATCTAATAATAGTATTATCAAATATAATAATGTTGAAGGATTAAATGTTAAATTTTAAAAGAAAAGGATTACCACATCGAAATTGTTGTAGAGAGTATAGTGCATATGCATATGCATATGCACACTTTTTGTAAGTTATTTTAATGGAGTGTTAAATTGTATATTGTCATTGGCTAATGTAAATAGGAATTGTAGCAAATTTAATTTGAGTAACAACGAGAATTCCCAGTGATCTTTTGTGCGAATAGTTTAATGATTATTTCTTGTTTCATTGAAAGGGTATCAATTTTTTGTGCTATTGTTTCATTTTTTTTTTATTTTGGTGTGATTTTGGGAGCAACAAAAACGGTTTTCATATTATTAAACCCTGTTTAACTGATTTATGCATTCTTGTTTTGGATTTGCTCTCAACACCCCAAAAGATCCCACTGCCCTGAGGTACAAGCTCGGAAAATCATGATATCTGCAAGGTTCCCCAACAGGTGATTTTGGTAATAACTAGCTGGGGGGCATTCGCGCGCGCGCGCCTCTGTCTCTCTCTCTTATTCTCCCACTTTCTCTCTCTCTTTCTCTCCCTCTGTGTGTGTGTATATATATATAATACCCTTCGTCAAAAAACTGATTTTTATTAGTTCAAGCGTAATGGATACATTTAAAGCACTTTCGTTGTTTAGTCTTTGAAGTATATTGAACTCGAGGTCCATTTTGACATTTCCAAGGCGTGTGCAAAACTCCTGGAGGTCATCGTATTTCTTGTAAGGAATCGCCGACGTGCTTCACTTTTTCAGATACTCCAATTTTTTGTATCTCTTTTTTTTTTAAATTAACCTTTTTTTGAGTTTGATGGGTGGTATCATGTACAGTTTACACATTTGGGGCCTGATTTGCACTCAAAGATGTGGCACTGTTTGGCGCAGACCACACAGACAGCGCTGCTGGATATGCATCGGTAACATGCAGCGTTGCTGTGTATGGTCTAACCTCTGACACTTAATGCAGCGCAGGGGTTCGGCACATACTGCCGCACACGCAGATTATACCACCCGCATGAGATCCGGAAGAAAGGGGCGGTCGAATGTGAGGATCAGCGTTGAGGTGGGAGTGAGTACACCGTTCACCTTCCGTTGAATCCTGTGCATGTCCGTTACTCTCTCAGTCAAGAAGGTTTTAGGTCATCGGTTTCCTTATGATTAACTAAACCCTTACGTAGGTTTAATGTAGGGTGGGTCGACAGGAACCTGTAGAACGGCTATTTCCTTCACTTTTACAACACTCAATCTGTTTCGTCTAACCGAAATTCGAAAAGAATGGTTCCAGAGCGTTGGCGAACTACTGTCTGCAACTTCTCAATTTTCGCCAACACTTTTCATTGTTTTCCATTCTTTGCTGCAAGTTATTTCAAGGAAGCGGGGTTGGCTTATTGCTTTCTTTGCAGAAAAAGCTTTCCAGATCGATGTTCTTTTTATTTAGTCTCTTAGTCAAAGAATACTTGAGAGCCCTCCCTGCTTCCCCCGTTTGGGCGTGGACCGACCCACCTCGACAAGAAGAGTCTGAGATATCAGTAGTCACAAGATTTTGACAGAGAAATTGAAGATTCGTCGCGTTGTTGCGAAATGTGCCACGCTTGATGATGGAGGAACAAATAATACCATCGTGTCTAGTTTTGTCAGCATTGATAATAACAATAATAATATGACGAGGCTCGGGCCATCAGACCCGCTCTTCCGCTTAACCACATTGATCGTTGAGAAGAGGATGAAATGTTATCATAGATCATAACCGGTGATGAATCTTGGGTTTACGGTTGTGACGTTGAAACGAAGAGGGTGGATGGATGAAACTTCCTCCAGGCCCAAAAAAGCTCGCCAAGTTCCATCCAAAGTCAAGGTGATGCTGACAGATATTTTAATGCTAAGATTGTTATTCACCACGAGTATCAGGAGGCACCACAGTGAACCGAAATTACTATATTGAAGTTCTGAAACGTCTGAGGGGGCCCCATCCGTCGTTGAAAGCCACAAATATGAAGGAGTAGCGACTGAGTTTTCCATCATGACAACGCTCCCGCCCATTCAGCCCTCAGAACTCGTGAGTTTTTGGTCAAAAATTTGATCACTGTTCTTCCCCACTCACCATTCTCACCTGACCTTGGTCCTTGAGACTTTTTCTTGTTTCCCAAACTCAAAAGACCCTTGAAAGGAAGAAGTTTGGAGATGATTACCTAGATAATAGCAAATACAACGGAGCTGAAGGGCATTGCAATAGAAGCGTACCAGGACTGTTTCAACAAGTGGAAACACTGTTGGGATGAGTGTGTTGGGGAGGAGAGTACTTTGAAGGGGACCCAGACATCTCATACATGAAGTACATTTCGTTTAATGACGTCAGTCCGCATACTTTTTGAACAGCCCTCGTCTGTTGAAATATTTTGTTTGAATAATATAAAATTGAAACTCTAAGAAATACCTACTTTTAAAACTTTTTTAAAATGCAAAAAAAATTGTGAATTGATAGGATTTTCTTTATATTTTAGCATCAAAATTGGAGGATGGGTTGATCTGTAAAAGTAATAATAGAGAGCTCCCAAATTAACCTAGGCCCAAGGGCCCCCAATGCTGTTAAAATGGTCCTAGTTTTTCAAACAAAGAGCTTGTGCTGTGATCATGTGGTTCGTAAGGCAAACTGGTGTTGTGCAGAATGAACAAATATCAGGGCGCTGGAGTAGCTCAACCATATCTTTCCACCATGAAATTGATTTTAAGCAATTTACAAAAAATTTATATAATTGAAATTTTATGTCATGAGATCATGACTATCAGTAATAGAAAGTATTGGCTATGTGCGCTATTGCATGCACAAAATTGAAGATACGCAGCTTTGAGGAGCCCTCGCAATAACTCAGTGCTCTCTGGAGAAATCTATATTCAAGAAGGCTCTTGAATATAGATAATTTCCATTTCCTCAGACACAATCCAAATTGGAACAATTAACTTTCAGGATACTGCCAGGTATAGACAGAAAAAAGAACTGCACACAGAAGTCAAGAATTAGCAAGATGCAAAATTTGGACCGCAAAGCAACCTGTGAATGTTAAAAGTGTTAAATACAATAGTATGCAAATCACATTCATTGTTTGTTTGTTACATAAAAAAAAAATTACTGAACTTTACACATATATTCCCAAATTAATATTAACATATATTAATGTTTATGCATCAGCACGAGTTGGATGAATTCATCAATAATTTTCATTAATAATTTTAAATAAAAAAAGAACCTGATAAGTGAAGTTAAGGATGTAACAGTCACTTAAATATTGCATTATATTAGTTCACGATGTTAGAAGACATCTATGCAATAAAATTTTCTCTGGGGTTAGTTTTCCAGGTAACCAATTATGTTCATAGGCAAGACAAGACCTCTGCTGAGTTAATTGGCTTCAGAAAACTTAAGAATAGCTGGTTGATTATAATAATTGGGTGCACCAGGCTTACCTGTAAATTATTTTAAGTGAAGATAAAAACAAATACCACAATTTTTCTTGAAAATTCATACTTTTATTGGCAAAGATTTTGATCCTCAGTCTCGCAAAGCATTTTATAGGAACCAAGTTCTACAGTTGTTTCATAAATGTATTGCTTTCCAACTTGTCTGGGCCAGTTCATACATAATAGTACATACACAAACAGAGAAATTAGTTATCTGTCTTAGCCATTTAAAAATACTACCAAATTATGGTTCTTATCCTAACTGAAATTATTTGGAAATTTTAGAGAAAACATCTTTTAGGTCCCTGCAAATAATTTTCTAAAACAGATATAAACTAGATTTGCATTTCCTTCTTTGCATTACAATCTCATGAAGAAATGCACATCATGTTCACTATTTAAACTGGCCCACAACTGTAAGAAAATGAGGCACATGGACAAAAAAATCTTGAAATGCGGTAGGCTCTCTTACCATTTAAAACTTCCAGAACATTGATTCTTTAAGATTAAAATTCTTTATTACGCTTGATAAATACTAAGAAAACTATAGACAATAAAATTTACTTCTCTAATCTGTGAAATTTTTGCCCATGAATCTGATCAAAACACTGCATTACTATCACTGTTATAAACTGAAAATTGGATCCTTAGAAGCACATCTCTATTCTCCATTCTTTATTAAACAACACATTTACAAATAATGAATATAAATTAACAATAAAAACTGAAAAATAAACGAACTTTTTGAAAGACTAATGTGCTACTTCTTTCAAATCATTTGCATTAAAGAAACATTGTTTAATGCAAACTTTATGTGCATGTCTATATAAACAATCATAACATATTACTTTTACTACTCTCAGTAGGATGGTTGTAAGTCATTGGCTTAAGTAAACTTTTGTTTTCATCATGAGCTTCTGAGGATATTGTACCTTTAAAGCATAATGAGAAATACAGACCAGTACACACTTAATATGTTGCAGGAGAAAATGTGCTGCAACATTAAGTCTTATTTCATATTATTAAATACATTTACAGATCCTAACTTTGGATGCTTTCAGTTATCTACAACATTCACAAGAATTGCTTCATTTGAGGAAGCAGAGGCCAAGTTAGACTTGTACATTACATAAGTTTGACCATCCAATACTAAACATCTTCACTTCACTATTAAGAAATCTTAGCTTTAATATTAATCCTATGTATTAAAAACCATATTGCATTTTCTACATGCTCAACAAGAGCTGATGTACATTATACTCAGAAAAATAGCAAACCTCTGTTGTATAGAACATCTAAAACATTTTGGCAACAATACCCGCAACAATGAACAAGCAGTGGAATCTTTGGGAAAAAACACTCAAATTTCAAGCACAGTCACCAATGAGATTCAAATCTTCCTAAGGCAACAAATGGAGTATTTTGAAGGTTGTATTTAGTCAACAAAAGTACTCAACTTGCAACTTTATAAAAATAATGGGTGAATAATATTATGAGATCGTGAAGAAAAAATAAAACATTTCATTTCCAATTTCAGGATTGGCAAACATAAGCAGCTCTTAGACAATTCAAGATACAACTTAGTGTTCACAATTTGACAGAAAAACAAAAATGTGATTTAAATAGAATTTAAATTGATACTTAAGTTAATTTCATTATCAAATCATAAAAAAGTTTTGTTAACTCAGAGAGGATAATGCAAGATAATGAGGTTCACTACCAACCCTTTAGTAAACCATGAGTTGATTACAAGCAACACATGAGTTGTATCCATCATATGATTCTCTTATCACAGATATGTTCAATCCACACCATAATAAATGTATACAACAAGCAAACATTTCTGTAGTCTACATAACACGGTCAATACTGAAGTAATATCTACCTTGCAATTTACCCCAATTTTTGTTTATTTGATCTTTATAACCATGCAAAATATGTGTTGTCATGCACACATTACACAATTGTATTTTGCAAGTAATTGCAGCATGTATTTAAGGTATTAGGGTAGCAACAATTAAAAAAAAAGGCATTATTTGTATATTTGCTTTGTTTTTATGTTTTTGTTTTCATGCCTGATATGATTAACTTTCATAACTTTAATAAAAGCAAACCAACAAATGAACCAAAATAATGGTTCTGAAACAAAAGAAATAATTAAACACAAAGGGAAAATTGCTATTATGATTACTACGAGAATTGCAGATATTTCCATGTAATATTTGTCAAGCGAATGTTTGAATTTCTACAGAGTGCTAAGCTTATTTCTACCAATATGTCTGTGCTACAATATTGATCAAAGAGAAGAAAATAACATGTAACATATTATTTCAGGAAGAAAGTCAGTCCCCTATGCAAAAGCCGTTGCAGCAGTACTGTGGGCATCTCTGTTGCTCAAAGACGGTGCACTAGCTGCAGGGGCAGGCGGGCACCAGCATGGTGCCTGAGTCGGCAGGTGATCCCGCCGTGCCCTCCACTAGCTGGTGCCACACTTAGCAATTTCAAAAGCGCCCTTGCGAAAGAAAGAAGAAAACTCCAATAAAGCAAGACGAGATGGTGCATCACGGCATGCAAACAATGGACAGCTTTCAATGCCACTACAAGTAGCAAACAGTTGCCGTAGGTACGCTTCTAGAAGGCGTCTACGTTGTCGTGCCACAGCATCAGATGTCTTTGCAAAAAATTTCCGCGGAGGGAATGGTAAAGATGAAACCTGAAAATGTAACACAAAAACCACTTGCATTCTGTAAGAAAATCACATTGAACAAAGTATCTATTTATCACATTCTTCTATTTTAAAAAACCTTGCACAAAAGTTATCTTCAAAAACCACAAAACAATTTAGATAATGTAAAAGACCAAAGTAATTCATCTTGATATCAGTATGAATATAAGTTTGGGGAAAACATAAGTGGAGGGTAAAGTAGAACTTAATCTATGATAGTATACAAACACACTCAGCCACCCATCAACCCAACACACATATGTATCAGAAGGCATTGGAGATAAAAATTACTATTTTCAAAAGAGAAATATTAAATTTGATAGGTACAAGGAAATAAGGATAAATAGAGCTACACAAGCTCATTGAATATTCAGCAACGGCACCCACTGCTATGACCTCCGTGTTTCATGTCGCTCTGTGGCAATTATCATTGAAATGTCTTATAGTGCCATGGCCATCATCTGAAAACCAACAGCAACTGACCCATATTCCAGGGAGGGAAAACGTAAATAGCCTTAGATTAGCTCATTACCTGGTATTGCTCAGGAATTTATTTACAGTTCTGGCCCCAGCCCTGCCCTTATTTGCAGTTCTTTTTCCGCCCTGTCTGCTTTGCCGAACTACTGCCTGGAATTGGCCAATCCTTCTAATTCTTCAGTGAGCTTAATAACACTGGTTATTCATGGTTTTGACTTCTTCCTTGCAAGACACAATACAAAATTTCAACTTTATTGGTTTGTCAACATTTTTGCAAAAAATCTTCCTGTATCTTTTCAATAACCCACATATTACTTTTGAGAGGGGGCTGGTGGGCTGGTTTGGTGTCCTTAGAAGGTGTAAATTATTTATTCCCATGGTTCCCATAAGAGAACACCCAAAGGATATGCCACAGTAGCTACACAGGTACAAAAAGGGGTGGCAAATCACTCATCCTCGAGATGTCAGAGACGTAGTCCAAGGCATTTGATTGGAAGTGAGTTAACTCGCAATCAGAAGATGTTGAGGTGAAAACCAGTGTCTAGAGAGACAGTGAATATTACCCTAGATAAATAACTTCATACTCCCAGGGCCTCCAGAGAGTAGCACCATAAAAGCAAATGGGGAAACAAATCACTAGGACACCCCCAAGAAGAAAAGAAGGGGATAAAAAGGGTGATGGTAATAAATCCAATGACAAGAAATTGAATGGAAGATGGAGAAAGGTACATATGAGAATCTTATGTTTATCCACTGTCCCCTGTGAATTATTGGTTTAAATTCTCACCACTTTCCTCTTTGCAGCAGATTATACAATGAGGGTGGGAAAATGCTGTCCTTTTTCCTTGTGTCTTAGAGTGATTGACTGGTCTGAAATAACTTATCCTGTGACCTTAGTAGAGCATTAAATTGGGAAATGATATGCACAAGGAATGGATGGTAGGAGATAGGCAAGAGAGCAAAAGTGATCTACCCACTGACTATCACCAACAGGTTTAAAAAACGACTTCTTGGAGAGAGCAACAAGCAGCCTCCTTTATTAGTAACAAGAAATCAAGCTGATTACACAACTTTTACTCTCTGGTATTGCACTAAGAACAATGGGGTTTGCACACCTCCATACAGAACGTGCATATGTATTGACACTTATACTTATAATCACATTTACGTAGGTTGCCTTTTATGTTTCGGGATTTAGCAACCCTGGTGTTGCAATCTGGCTACTGACAGCTCTATCGTAAAGTTGGATGTATTGAGGTTATACGTACTCAGAAAGTTTTGACATACGAACGCTATTTGTGTTATTTACAGTAACTTAAAAGATTCATCTTGGCCCAAAAATGGAATTAAATTGTGAACATTTTCGTGCGATTATCTTTTACAACTTTTGACGTGGATTAACTCAGCAACAGTGCGTAGATGAATTTAATTCAATTTTTGGAGCTCCATCAAGGACCAGTGTTTATCGATGGTATGGTGAATTCAATCGTGGTCGTAGTTCACTTCAAGACGAATTTCGCGGTCGTCCAAAATAAGTTGTTGTTCCGAAAACCATTGATGCTGTGAGTGATATTGCAAGACCGTCATGTGACCGATCGTGAGATTGAGACAACCTTAGGCATTAGTGGGACCAGCATACATTCAATACTGCAAGAACATTTGACTGTCAAACAAATTTGTTCGCGTTGGATCCCACACAATTTGTCAATCGCTCAAAAAAAGGCTCGTGTCGATTGGTCGAATGAAATGCTAAAAAAATAGGATCGCGGTGCTTTGAAACACGTCTATGACATCGTGACACGTGATGAATTGTGGATTTACGCATATGAGCCCGAAAGTAAACAACAGTAGACTGTATGGGTGTTTCAAGATGAGCAAAACAAAAGTTGTTCGCGCACGAAGCACTTCCAAACAGATGGTCGCCTGTTTTTTCGGACAAACTGGTTATGTCGCAACCGTACCACTACAACAACGCAGAACAGTCAATTCTGAGTGGTACACGACGATTTGTTTGCCAGCTGTCTTCTAAGAAATCAGGAAAAACAACCGCCGAAGACGGATCACTCTTCACCACGACAATGCGAGCTCTCACACATCGGCTCAAACAACTACATTTTTGAGCACCCAAAACATCGATTTGTTGAGTCATCCGCCGTATACTCCTGACTTGGCACCGAATGACTTCTTTTTATTCCCGCACGTAAAGAAACTGAGAGGTCAACGTTTTTCGACACCTGAAGAAGCGGTTGCTGCATTCAGAATGCATGTTTTGGAGACCTCAATCAGAGTGGCGAAAATGCTACGACAATTGGTTCATACGCATGCAAAAGTGTATAGATCTTCATGCGGAATATTTTGAAAAACTATAAAGTGATTTTTGATGATTAATATTTGTTTTTGTTCTCTAATACTGAAATATAAAAGGCAACCCTCATACTAGTTATTGACTCATCTTGAATTTAAGGGGTTCAGTAATATCCATTACTCAGTCATTTATTTGTAGTTTTTTTTAATGACAGATGTCATTGTATTGAGAAAATTTCCACTATCAACTTTGAGTGGAACATTAGAAAAATTCAAAATTGACACAATGAAATCTAACAGTGTCAGTCCAAATGTTGCTTGAATTGCATGTCATTATCCAGCAGTATACCAGAGATGCAATCAACCAGAAGAGATGCATGTAGTATGCATCATGAATCAACATTTCAGGCAAAGTACCATTTCTGCCCATTGCATTTGCAAAGCATAAAAATCTTTTGCTTTTCATCAATGACATTATAAATGAAATATTTATAAATAGTTCAAGAACACATACATTTTTTCTGATCAATTTCTGAATTTTACTGATTGCATTGAAAAGTGTGACATGATAGTCATCTCATGTCTCAAGAGTGAATTCGTGTACTTTTCACCAAGAAGGCCCTAGTTCAATTCCCATCGAATCCCAGACAATCTCATGTGAAACGTATTTCAACGAAACAAGTTTGGCTGCTCCACAAGGGCTAGTCCAACCCGAGTGAAGTGTCTTAAACCCTACCTCTATTCTAATTCCTACCCAATTCTGGCCGTTGGGTAATGATGCATGAGCATGTGGGAGAAGGCATGTACGCAGAGATGCTACCATGCGGTCCTTATGACAACTGACTGCAACAACACGACTCGACTACAGAGGATATGACATTGTTAAATAATGGAGGATTACTCCCGCACTGTTGTTAATGGAGGATTACTCCGAGCATGCAAGGCGCTTAAAGCTCTCCAAGGAGCTTGGGTCTATGAAAACCCAAAACAAAAACATTTAATTATATGGGTACTTTTAAAACTACTTTGAATTGAACCCGAATCTTATATATACTACTTACAGGACGACCATATTTGCTGCACATAGTGAGATGCAATTCTCGAAAGCGGCGGTAACGTCGCATCAGCATCCATCGTTCACCACCAACACACATACGTAGCTCATATTCAAAATGAGCAGAATAGCCAGAACCACGCAACACATACGAAGGAATATGAACCCATGAGTCATAGGGTCCACTGACACTTGTATTCCTTTGATCATCTAGGCTGCCACCATGGCCCTAAATAAGAAAATGTACAGGAGAAAAATTCAACTTTATTAAGTTAGCATATTTTATATATTTGTCGGTAATGACTGGATTCCTTGGCAATAGCAGTACATGATTGTGCAGTGATTTTTTCATGCAATGAAGATTGATCCAAAGGGAAAAATTGAAGTTCTCACATTGATTTTCAAAAAGTTTTTTTCCAAAATCATATCATTAGATCATTTTATCACATGTGTTGTCAAGAGAACCCAACTCATATTTTTGTTCCGAAAATAAAGATTGCTTTTATTTGTGAATAAATTTTGTGGAAACACGAACAGATAAAGGCAGCCTAGAGTACTGGACACTTTATTGCATAACATAAATTGTAAAATAATAACAAGAAAATGTGAGAGGGGGACTTTTAAAAACATAATTACTAAAAAGGGTAAAGCAGTACAAATGGAAAAAGCAAGTGAAAACAAGGCAAGGAAAAAGGGAACAGAGAAAAAGCAAAAGGAAAAAGGAAAATCAACTCCCTAGTAATTACCATAATAAAGATTTTCTATTTGAGTAAATACTGAGATTGAATTGATGTGCAAGTTTCTTAGAGGAAAGTTGGACTAGGGCATGGTGGTTGAATTGAAAAAATGTATTTTTTTCTTTTAGACAATTGAAACAATAAATCTGTTAAATTTGAATATTAAGGAAAGATAAATGAATAATAGAATGTATTACAGAAACGTATTGTGAGATTAAGAAAATATAATCAATAAAAAATTGAAAATGTTCTTAAGTCTTTACTTTCATTACAGGACACACGTTGAGCCTGAATTCAAAAACAAAGGGTCAAGTTTTAAAATCACAGTTTTTGAACTTATTATTTCCATGCTTCCAAAATTCATAACTTAATAGAAGAAAAAACTGTAGTACATAAGGTTAGAAGTCTGAAAATACAAGTACATTCAGTATTAAAAATATAAAATTCAACTTACACATGATGTATACAGAATTGGACTAACTGGTGAACCAAGGCGCCCTCTGAAAAAGTAGTAAGAAAGAATTCACTTTACTAGAGTTTAACATAACATTTTGGATGACAATAATAAGTAGGAAAATGAATTGAAAAGACGACTTGGAGTGTCAATGGAACATATAATCCCATAACACCGGACTAGGTTTGTCGCAGGGAACCGATAGATCAGTGCCTGAAGATACATATAATGTTCAACTGCTCCCATTTCTTCTAACAAATGTACATTACTTTATTTAATGAGCTAACTTTTTAAAACTAATTTTGTTTAATAAATAAATATTTTCCATTTTGTAGTTTGCAAATGTTAAGTTTCAGCAATTTTCAAAAATGCAGAGATTTCAACAAAGATGAAACTTCTTTCTTTTAACCATCACTTCTTCCAACCATCGAAAAAATTCAAAGAATAAAAATGGAACAGTTTTTGAAAAAATAATAATTTTAGAAATTGTGAAAATGATGCAAAAAATCACTTGTTTTTTCAAAAATTATTTTTTGAAGACCCAACAGAGTTTGATTGACGCAAAAATCTCTACCTACAATTTTGTAGTTATGAAATGTACAATTTTTGCAATTTTCGAAAAAGGGTAAGATAGTTGAAAATGGGACTAGCCTTTTTTACTTTCTCACACTTACTAAAGTAAGAAGAGAAAGTATTGTAATCAAACGCCAAAAATCTGAGAATTTTCGACACAAAAACTCTTATTGCTGGGCCATAGTAAGGAAAGAGTGGATAAATCAAGTTGCTAAATTATGGGAAAAAATCCTCTGACACGTGGGTCCTTCATACCGCAAAATCGATTGACGGCAGAACATCTGTCTGTCTGTCTGTGTTCCTCCGTGCACAACTCTAGCACATAAACCGTTTAGCTAATTTTCCTCATACTTTATATTCCCCAATCGTTATAGCTGATGTCGCGGTCCCTGACATTTTAAACTGGTATTTTAAAATGAGGGTACTTTACATGACCCCTCCCCCCAACACATTTTCAAAATTTTCAACAAAAAATATGGCTTCAATTTTTTTAATTAAATTTTATTCGTGAATAGGGCAAAAAACGTTTAAGAAAATGGTGCAGTGTTATTAGTTGTACAAAATTAGCTCCGCAAAAAACATGTAAAGCTATTTGAAAAATTGAGTAGTTTTTGCGTATTTTGCGACAAATTTACAACAACAACAAAAATTCTCAAAAAACGTTCCAATTATTTTCTTTAAATTTTCTCCACACATAGATATAAAAAGAAACAGTAAGAAATATGGGACTAGTCTCATTTTAGAGTATAGTTGGTTTTTTCGAACATGTAAAAATCTTTTTAAAACTACAAAATTGAAGATAGAGATTTTTACTTCAAACAAAATTTGTTGTACAAATTAGCTCTTTAAAAAAGGTTATGTACAATTTTTTGAAAAGAACTAGTAGTTTTTGCATTATTTCTAGTTGAAATTAATGAAATATATACATTCACACAAACAACAGGCCAAGAGAAAAATTGAATAAATGATAAGAATCAATCCAATCAATTTAATTTTAATTATAATTTTCTATTCAAATTGCCAATATTAATTCTATTTTTGCTTTCTCACATTTTTACTTTACTTAAATCTATAATTTGTATTCTCAATGTATTTATTTATGAGTACATAAAGTTGACTGAAGTAAAGTTTGCGGACAAAATAATGGCTTACATCATTCCTTCTTACCGAAGGCAAATAATTCTTCAAGAGCTGTGTTATTTAGGCCATCATTCATAAAATTATAATATTGTTCAGTTTACGACATCATACAAAATCTGTATATCTGGAAATAGAAACTGTAAATCTAGGTTGGTGTAAGCCATGGCAGGAGAGGATGTGTTTATCGAAAATAGATATTCAAATAAGGTCATGTTCAATTTTTTGAAAATATGCATATTTTTTGGGTTAATTAGGAGACACAAATTATGGTTGGTCCGAATTTACAGCGCTTTTTTGTTGTAATTCCCGACAATTGGATGCTCCATATGTTAGAATTTATATATTTCATATACCTTTGTTCATTTCTTACATTCGACTTTTGTTATACATATACACATTAATATTTTAGAAATTTTTTAAAACCTATTTGAAATACTTCAAGCTTTCAGGGAATATCTGATTGAAATGCTAAGAGTCTTATTATTGAGACATGATTTACCTTCATGAAAATCGGTTATAATTGTGAAATTTGTGTTGATATTTGCTTGGAAATATTTAGTTTTTGCATCAAATGTAGTACAATTTGTAACGAGTAGGGTTCGGCAGTATTTAAATAATTCTATATGAAATACGTATATTAAGTAATTCACATGTTCATCCATGCCTCCTGAATTATTATTTTCCTATGCAGGTTTTATACATTCGCGCCTACGGGTTTATTGTCTCCATTTGTTTGAAAAAATGGTTGTTTTTAAGGAAATTCCATTTCCTTGTGTTAAACACATTTTTGGTATAATTTTGTATTTGAAAACGTTTACACATATGGTTGCCAGGGGCGATTCTTTATTAGGTTCACACAACACCAAAACAATTGCACAAAATAGAATACAAACTTTGTTATTACAATCCCATTAATAGTACAACCTTTTTCAGCTCCTCTTCTTTTAATTTCAATACCAGTATTACATTGACGAACCGATGTGGCTACGTTGCTGTTTACGTTTTCGAAGCAACACCTCAGACTTCATTCGGTAACAACCATTGGGTAACACGTGACTTCGCTTCTGGGTTTTCATAGGGCGCTTTCATCGGATCATACGCCGTGAATTCCGCTCGATGCAGCGCTATCACGACATCCAAATTCGAGACGAAGTCTCCGTCACACTGTCAATAAAACAGGGCCCCTGATACGATACTCCGATGTTTTGAAGCTGATGTGGATGGTGAGAGGCCGACTTAAAATCAGTGTAGAAATGTGTTCCACATTTCGGGTTCGAATAATGCTTTACTTATAATGTTGGTGCATCCTGGTGTTGAATTAATTCAATCTAGAAGCTTAGTTTGGACCAACCTTTTCTGAGAATTTAAACCACAAAATGAGCAAAACGAAAGTTTCGCCGACGATTCAATGCTATTATTTACTCGGCATGCAAGTGACTACAATAGTGTGGGTGAAACATGCACAATTTTGTTTTCCTTGCATCTTATTTCACAAGGAGGAAATATGTGGATGAAGCCCATTTATGACCAAATGACCCATTTCAGTGAGAAACACATCTCCATAGAAATGTTGAACTGACTTTACTTGGATATTGTGTTTTGGCTTGATGACAGTTATCATCTTACTGTAAAACGACGAAGTGCATAAGAACAGACATTCTGGACACTTACAAACTGTCAAATTTTGTTTTGCGCAAAGCTCAGCTTGCTTTTTGAGGGTGCAAGGAAAGTGAACAATCGGAAAACATGGGATATTTCGAGAGTTGGTGGGTTTAGTTACTACCACTGATGGTATTTCAAAAATGAAGATAAAATTCAGTACAAAACACAGCTGCAAGGAATGTACAAGAAGCGAATTAAGAAATCCAACATGAGCGGTACTGTTATTTCAAGTACTTAATGCTGCAAAATGAAATATCAAAAAAATTTTTTTCCAGAAGTATGCAAATGTCTTCTAATTCTTCTCATTAATCCAATGACTTCTTCATAAGCTGAACAATCATTTTCAACAATGAAGGCGATAAAAAACATTTCGTAGAAATCAATGGCAACCGAAAGATTGCGATCGTGCGCTCTTGCAATACTTCAAGTCAAAAACTTGTAGAAAAGTGTAACTTATCCGTGTAAACCGTAACTTCAATGAATTAGTGATGGAGAAATTTGTTCATGTGAAAAATCGTCGATTTCAATTCAAGTAAACAACGTAAGATTACAATTTTCTCATTTCTGGGTAGATTGATGAAATGCCTCGTTCCGAATGTTGCCTAATTAAACAATTGTAGCGGAGACTGTAGAAAGAGAAGTCTCAAGCTCAAAAGTAATATAAAGCAATAAATGAGTAATTAAAGCAATTTTTTTCATGAGTAATTATTACAAGTAATATTATAAATATTAGTTTTCTACACAAACACTCTGTTCAGGTTGCAAGCGTCAGTAGCGTAATAGACACCATGCCCCTCCACCGCGCAAAAGCAGCAGCGTGTTGCGCTCATGGCGCGTTGTCACACGTGAGTGTCGCATTCGAGAAACGTTTATAATCAGTTTCTTGGAATGGTGAATTTTTCTTATCCTTCATTCTTTACTAGTGGTTTTAAGTTTTCACACTTATAGTTTTCCGATAGGATTCCAATTACTTTAAAATATATTTGAATTTAAGGTGAAATGTTCTTAAACAATTTTAATAATTGTGCCCATTAATCAATCGGAAAATATTGGAGACTGAGACTCCCGACCATTGCTTTTGCAACATCCTCAAATTTAACCCACCCACCACCACTGATGGTTACAATATTTATTGTTCAGAAATTTGAATGACTAAATTGCTAATTTACTGTAATTGACAATATATTGTTGTAATAAAAATTATGTCATACAAAATTGTTATATATTTACAGTATTCTGAGTACAATGTACTTCCTGGAATTAATTCTTAAATGTTGAAAAGTTAAACCTAAAAACTCTGCAAAATAACAAGCCATTATCCCGAAAGCAGACGTTTGCCCGCTTTTCATAAAATTATATTGCCCAGTTTAAGATATCACACAACTGCGAAGTGCAAGCAACACCACCAAGTATATATCTACCATTATATATCTAGGCGATTGTATATTCAGGTAATTAATAATTTATTAATTGTTTAAAATAATAAGATAGTAATTATTTATTAATTGTTTAAAATAATAATATAGTAATTATTTATTAATTGTTTAAAATAATAAGATAGTAATTATTTATTAATTGATTAATTCCAGAAGTAGTATGAAGGTGATTAATTTGGAATATTTATCTATTTGAGCGTTTCTTTCAGGCCCTAGATGCCTTTCTAATTTCTACGATTTATAACATTTATCTCGATGGATGTACGCACAGTGTGTGCCGACTTAAATTTTTCTTTTAATTATTATATGCAAAATAAAAATGGGCTATTATATAACTTATTTATGTTTATTGATTGTCTATTTAGTAGTTACTTATTTTTCTTTTCTTTTAATTACAATCATTGGATATATTAAATCAGAAACACACCACTTGAAAACGAATACATTTAGATTCCCTGGTCACCAAAATTCTACCCACTTGTAGTAATTTCATCTAATATGGTAATTCTGCACTGCACTTAAAAGCTTCCATTTTCCATTGTGTCAGAACAATATATTTCGAGTTAATTATTACATTAGAAATTAAGAAAGAATTAAAACTAGTGACATTCGTTATGTTGTTTTGTATTTGCATTTAAAGAATGTAATGCTGCAGGACCAAGAAATTATTTGTCAGTACTATGTTTATAACATAAAACAACTCATTTTTTCAAAAAAATTGTATGCGACCTATTTTAAAGAGTTAAGTTTGTACAATAGACTTTGTTCGAAGCAAAAATCTCTAATTTCAATTTTGTAATTCTGAATTTTTTTTCAATTTTTGAAAAAAAAAGAGCAATTCCCAAAAATGAGACTAGCACCATATATTTTACCATTCCCTAATACACATGTGAAGAAAATTTAAAGAAAAAATTTTGAGCAGATTTTGAGAATTTTTGTTTTATAAATTTCAATTGCAAAATATGCAAAAACTACTAGTTTTTTTTCCCTTCAAAAATTGTACATGATTTTTTTGAAGAGTTAATTTTGTATAATAGACTTTGAAGCAAAATATCTATCTTTGATTTTTTAATTTTGAAATGTTTTTCTTTTTGTGCGGATGTGCAGATGTATGTTTGTGCCATTCCATCACTGGTGTCTAGATCACTTCAAGTGCACCATTTGAGACATATGAGGTGTCATTCGATGAGCCTCGATCTCCTGACAAGGAACTGATAAATTGTTTAAAATCCCTCTAGAAGATTTAAAGAAATTTCCAAAAACGTGTTTTTTTGTGTTTTGGCGATCTTACTGATAATACCAGAAAACCAATGCCTCTTAAACTGATCTCATAGGTAGCATTGGTTAAACACCAGAACCCAAAGGCAGTTTTTGCTTAATCCGCAAATATTGAATTTCAAATGAAAGAGACCCACAACTAATTCTTATTCAAATTAACGGACACCTTATTCACATAAACATAAAACGTCACCTTTTAATGTTCATTTCGCCTGCAACGCAATTGGTATTCAAAACGATTAATCGAGGAATCGCACAAGTAAAAGAGAACACAAATTAAACTTAGTTAGTGAAGTTTTAATCTCTTCACAATTTAGGGAAGAAAAATATGTAAGTTTTACGGAAATCAGAGTAAGAATCAAATGTAGTTGTAAAAGATGTTGTGATAGAATTTTTAGAACTAATGGGGAATGATGTGCATTTTTGCATTTAGTATTCATGCTAATGCAAATGTGCATTTTTGTGCATATTACCAAAAAAGCGTAAAAATGTAGCTGTACTAACATTTAACTATAAGCATCAAAATCTACAAGTATTTGATATGTCGATTATAATTTTGAAATTGCAATATGAACAGTTCATATCCCATACGGAGGAAACACAGAAGGTCATTGGGCATTGGAAACTTTTAAACGGAAGTATAACATTATCAGCTACTATGATTTATTTGTAAGTACAAAGCTGAATACTGAAAGAACATATTTCAACAAGCTGGGCATGAAAGAAATGAAGTATGAAAGACATTTTCAATAAATAAAACTATTTTTAAAACAGTTAAAATTTAATCAAAAAATGTGGAGCATTTTATTGAAAATTTTGAAAATGTTCCAGAGGCTTCATGGAAAGTACCTCCGAAAATTAAAATATCGGTTTCAAATTTTAGGGTCTGCGACATCAGCTAGATCGATCGATAAATATAAATTTTGGAGAAAATCGGCTGAACGGTTTAGGCGCTAGCGCACGAACGCACTAAGGACGCACGGATGGACAGACGTTTTGCCGTCAATCGACTTTCTGGTATGAAGGACGCACAAAACATGGATTCTGGCTACACCACGTGTTAAAGGATTTCCTCTCCCCCTATATTTAACAACTGGATTTATACACTTTTTCGTTGCCAGGGCCGGCAATAAGAATTTTTGGGTGGAACATTCGCCGTTTTCCGGCGCACCATTGCAATTCTTTCTCTGCTTTCGTTAGTAAGAGCGAGAGAGTAAAATTGCATCCGTGCCGTACCGACCCTGTGCACTTTGGAATGAAACTTTCTTGAAATGATGTCCATTTAGGCAGTTGTTTTGGATCAACTGAGCTACAAAAATGTATTGACTCCACAGGTCACATCGCGTCCCCTTCCCCGGATCACATGGTGTTCAGAAACATCTTGTTTGCATACACTAAACTGTTCATGAGCCACTACGGCTTAAATTCTCCTTGTATTCCAAATGCCTGAAATATTAGATAGAATTCTTTTCGCTTACTTAATTCTCTGTCAAACATTTAGCTGATAGGGTATAAATTAGTATGTAGTTGTTAATGTTTTTATTATTGTTATTAGAAATATCCAATGGTCTAATATGCACTATTACAGAATATCATTTACCTACAATTCTGCACAAATGAGATTTTAAACATATTTGGAATCACAACTACGCTAGTTTGTATTCTTGGCCACTCAAAAGTATTGACGCCAAATTTGGGAGCAATCACTTAAGTGGTTACAAAGGGTTTTTTTTAGCACTTTTTATATAATAGATTAAATAAAAATATTTATATGCTATGTATCAACATAAAGAAAATAATGAAACATTACAGAGTATGTAAAAACTCACTGAAGTAAACGCTGGTGAAGATTCAGTGAGAGGCGTCGTGCTGGGCTGCCCTCCATCACATCACTCCCTTCCAGGCGCAAAGCATCACCAAGTAGTTCTGACAACCTACATGATACAATAATACATATTTAAGAAATGTACGCATTCAGATACAAAAACTATTACGAGACAATCACATAAAGAGAATGTCTGACCGTGAAATCAATTTTGTAGGTTTTTAATGAACATATATAATTAATTGTGTGGTGAAAATCATATTCAATGAGATCAAATCTATAAAAGATATTTAAATAATAAAAACCGTGGAGAAAATATTATTTGTCTTATAAAAGGTTCAAATTATATTAGTATCATAGCAATTAAAAGCATGTACATTTATTTCAGATTTAGGCAAGGGGCGAAATGTAATTGTATCAAAAATACTAAAATGTATATACTTAAGAAGTAATGCTATTTATATATTACATTTCCTGCAAGTTAGAGATAAAGTAGTTTTAGCTTTTGAGTATGACTAGGGCATTCACTTATCTTCATAAATGCTATACCCACAAGGGCATAACAGATTACAATCATTGTTGGTAGGCAGTAGGTTGTGCCTAACACTCCAAACAATTACATTTTCACATCTGTAGGATCAACATTTATTGAGATACAAGGTCATAGAAGGAACATCCTTCATCCTTAGTTTGGCGAAAGGCAGCCACGTTGGCAAACCTACGAGGTCATAGTCGCACAATTGAATTATGCAGGTCTCAAATGGAGATCTATGTTAGCCCATCCTCTGGAGTTACCTAGAATAATTGTTGTGGGTAGAGTCCAGGTTGCATGGTCTATAGCATCTCAAACATTCTCAGTCGGAGAGAGATCTGGTTAGCGGTTTGGCCTATCCACAGCTGCAAGATGTGCTCTGGAGGGGAGGGCGGTTAGGGTACGAATGTAATCTTTAAACAGGGCACCGACATGGGAGACACAAAGAGCCAACCATTGTATGGACTCATAAATATACCATGCGACTGTTGTAGTGCCTGTTAGAAACACTACTGCTGAATGGACACCATACAATATCGCACTCGTCTCCAGCATGCTAATAGAACGTACATTGAGATTCAAAAAACCCCTCTTTAGGGACCGCTGTAGGAAGCGCCCTCAAAGCGGCAGGGTCAGCCTTATGATGGCCCCTTTCAAATGTGTAAAAGTGTCGCGGCCTTCACGGAGTGCACATGCAGGTGATGCTCGGCTGACGCTAGCCGGTGTTACTATTGCCGGCACAGCCGTTTGGGGGTTCCCTTACCTCAGACAGTGGACCTGACATGAGATCACCATTACACCCTCCGAGTGCTTGCCTGACCGCGAAAGAGAACTCATTCATTCAGCTGTTGGTGTTCAACGTACCCGTCAAGTTTGCAGTGCAATGGTTATGTCCTGGACGCAGCATTTAATTTGAGGAGGATGGGGACTTCGAACAAGCATAGAATGTAAGAAACACGGAACCGTTTAAGTTGGGTTTAACTATGTTTGCATGGGAGTAACTATGTATTTTTTTGAAAAACTATCTGTTAAAAAATTATATTTACCCATCTTCAGCAGAAGTGGAGATATCATCAGAGTCCTCACTACTGCCACTCAGTTGTGCTTGTTCGAGAACCAACTCTAGACGTACATACTGTCGCTGAAGTTCTTGAAGCTCCTTTAAGAAAACATAATATAATTACAATTACTTACAATAAATTTGTAGAAATACACACAAAACAACAATATATTAATTAACAACGTAATCATAAATATTGTGACAGAATGCATAAGTATGTTATTAAGAATAAGTGGATAGCGGAAAAGCAACGACGATTCAACAGATGGACGAGTATTGGTCAGTACTATTTGTCGCAACCTTTCTCCCAAAACACGCCACGTCAAGAAATACTACAACCGAAAAGTAAACTTGGGAGATTTAGTGGGTAAAAATGAGCAATAGCAAGGTGAAACAGGGCAGCCTTTTCCCTTTCCCGGGAAAACCAGTTATATTTATGTGCAACATATTTAATACATTAAATATAACAATTATTACATGCATTAGTAATTCTTATAACACTGAAAACTATCCCCAAGAGCGTATTTTTCGAGTTCAGGTTCAAGAGGGCATACAAAAAGGTCATTAACTCATTCAAATATGAAGCAAGAAATTGTTTCAAGATTTGTCTTCAAAACATTGGTTGTTGAATTTATTAAATATTGTTGTTTCTTTACAAACCTCTTGGTTATTTCATAATGAATCATTTACCAAATTCCAAACTTTTACCTCGCAGGCTATTATTGTAGAGAAAAGGAATCACATTAAGATCTTGCATGTGAAGGTTCTTGAATTTAGGTTTAAAATAATATTGATTCTATCACCTTAACGGAATTAAATGTGTATTACGTTGAAAATGTTTTTCAAATATCTGAAGTACATCTTCCTATGCTAAAAAGTATATTACTTTGCATCTAAAGGCCTCCAACACAGAGAGCAGTAGATTATATTATGTTCATAAAAAACTGGAGAAAACACTAAAAAAGTCAGCAATCGCTCTTTTGAATCCATTGTTGTAGGTGGAGATTTTAACATTGATTTTCTGGTCGAATCTTGTAAGAAAGAGCAGTTTATCAACTTACTTCATTTCTTCAGTTTAGATATTACAATAAATGTACTTACACAGATTACTAAATTTAAAGAAGGCTATCGATCAAATAATAATTAACAAAACCACTACTCTGTATTAAATTGAAACAAAAGATTTAGGATACATCATCACAATGCATAAATTCATAACATTATAAGAAATGCCAACACCGACACATTAAATGATACTCGAATGAGTACATTGTTCACTAAAAGTAAAATAAAATTATTCATCAATTACTTGCTGCAAGAGTCATGGGACACTGTTTACAATACTGTTGATACATATGATAATAATTTTTTTTTCAATGCTTCCATTTCATTTTAACACTAGCTTTCCTCTTCAAAACAGAAAATTATATATTTCATGGAAAAGCAAACCTTGGATAATAAAAGGGATTAGGACTTCATGTAAAAACAAACAAATTCTTTCTTTCCTTTCTACAAATCATAACGTATCTCAACATTTCCTCCGCTTCTTTAAAAATACAAATCATTGGTAAGAAAATTCATAAGACAGGCTAAAATCACAAAACTTGAACAGGATATTTTGAACTCAAATAATAAAATAAAAACAATGTGTAATATAGTAAAAAATTAGACAAAATCAACTAGAAACATTGTAGAGAAAGGTTGGTTTGAAAGGTAAAGATAGAAATGTGAATCTGGCAACAGAGGCTGGTCTCTTTAACCAATACTTTTCAAAACTTGTTGCCGATTTCACAAAGGGTCTTCAGTCACAAATTTCAACATCAGACATTTCTCCAAAACGTTTATACACAATGTTCATTTCTGAAACTTCTTCCAATGGAATTCTCAAAATAATCAGTAGACTAACAAATAAATATTTGGCCGGTTTAGATGAATTTCAGGCTTGTTTGTTGAATACTTGTGCGCCCGCCACTGTAGATTAGATTCAGATTTATATTTAGATTTATTGATTAAAAAAAAATAGTAAAAACTGTATGTGACGTTCGGGGGAGAAGATTATCTGTGCACCTTTTCTTGAGTTCCAGAATACCCTTCCCGTCTTTATTTTTTAACATAAATAAATAAAAATAATTTTTTAAAATAGCATGATTAGCAATATTTAAAAAATAGTCATTTTCGTTTCAGAGTTGTAGAAAACTTATTTGCATTGGTACACTAATTGTAAGTATGATTTTTCTGCATTGCTAACAAAATAGCAACTCGCCCTTACCTCTACTATTACCATTACAAGCAAAAGGAGAGTTCAACAAAACGTGCGCATACTGAAGCTACATCTACGTGCAGAAGCAAAACAATGGGCCATCTCAGTATTTGCTCAATGGATCATGTAAACTGGACAAAAACCTGATCTAGATGGGGGTCATTGACCCGGAAGCTGAAGTACATTATTTGTTACAAACATATTAAGTCTTTAAAAAAATTATACAATACAAATGTAAACTAATTTATTATATATCACTGTTTCATTAAAATAAACTTTTTTTTTTGATAATCAGTATAGTCTCTAATCGTATAGAAACAGTTATGCAGCAGAAAAGATTTTACTTTTAACTTAAATTGGTGAACAGACTTAAATTGTTTAATGTCATTTGGAAATGCATTGTAAAGTAACAAAATTTATTGTAGGTGGATTTCTGATACTCGTAGTGAGCTGTTGATACTTGATGAATGTGATTTTTACGACATGTTGTAATTATAAATCTTAGTATTGCATGAAAATATGTTCCCACCGTTAAATAAGTCAATTTTGACAAATATTACAGATTCGTAATAATATAGGCAAGGCAGTGGTAAGATTCCAAGCTCAATGATGAGAGGCTTGCAAGGGTAACGTGGATGGCATTTTTTCATTATTCAAATAATTTTCTTTTGCAATCTAAAGGTCTGAGTATTACATGATGAGTTTCCCCAGAATTTTATACCATATCTCAGGCGAGAATGTACATTTGCAAAATACACACAACAAGCTGCATGAAGACTGACAGAATTTGGTAGAATTCTGAATGCGTAACCTAATGAACTTAATTTAGTGTTCAATTTTGTTAAATGTACATTCCATTTGAGGTTGGGCTGAAAGTATACACCCATTAACTTGTATATTTAAAATATATTTATGCACAGAAATTGTTCCAGATATTTATAAAACTGCAAAGCCGCTGTTTGAAAAGGCAACAAAAATGAAATTCAAAATTATCGACAAATCTCTCTTTCATCGGTTTTTGGAAAAATATTATAAATACTTTTTTTATGTATGTATTATATTCAAAAAGAAATAAATAAACATCTTACATGTTTAATGCAGAACGACACTTGACTATATTCAAATAAATTACTTTGTAATTGCCTTCAGTTTTGAAGTACTTACTGCGATTTGGCGGTTAAGTTGATTGCGATCACAATCATGATCAAGGCAACGCATGATGTTTAACTTGTGTTGAGCAACACGATGGCACAGATCTTGCATTTCACGCATTGCTTCAGCTACTGTGAGGGCCTGGGTCTCAACTGGAAGTACAAATTTTCGGCGGCTGTTCACCATTGCCTATCAAAAATCAAAATAAAGTTAATAATTTTGAATTTAAAATAGCTTTATAAATCACATTTTATAATATTTTAATTTGATATTAGATCAATTAAATAACTTCCATTGGAAAAAATACATGTTGGAAAGGTGGATGATAGTTTTAGTTCAGTCCTGAAATATCAAATGAAAGTAGAGGTGCCAAGAAAGGGAAGTGAAGGGGGTGAACAACTTGTCCTAATATTTTTTATTCATTATAAATAAATAATTGTTTTTATTTCTAATTCAAATTTACCACTATATTAAACCTGTTGCAATGAGAAAGGAGTTCTGTGAAGAAATAATTGAAAGGCTAAGTGCAATAGTGGTCTAACCTACTCTGATATTGAAACTGAGTTAACTGTGCAATCTGTTTTCATCAACCATGAACTATGTGGCAAAACCAATAAATATTGAATAAAAGGATTTGCATGTTTACAGCACTGCCAGTTATTGTTCTCAAAGCAATTGTATCAAATTCTTGTGCAAAAGTGGTCTAACAGAATTTGATCAATTAAAACTGGTCAATGAAGTCCCATAGACAAATAATATTTTGATTGCACGTTATACACAAATGTTCTGTTGAAACTGAGGAACACACGTATCTTGTCTCTGGACACAGCTACTTATCTTTCAATTCAGACTTTGGTCTTAAAGAAAAAAGAAAAAGGGTCCAGAAATGAGAGTTTACTCCTTCAGAATGGGTTATTGTAATATCAGAATCAAGACACAAACATCCATTCATTGTTAAAGAAATGAAGCTACCTGACTTTGTTTCAGCACAACCAATAGAGGAAAAAATGTGTAATAGAGAATTCACTAAAGGAGATAAGGTTGCAGTGAATGTTAGTAAAATTTAATATTTTAAACTAACTAAGGATCATCCATGGAAGTACGTATTTAAATATTCACTTCACAACGAAAGGGTTACAATTCAGTAAATATCACCAAGAGAAGTCACGTAGAGGGAAAAATACTTTCGATCTTGCTCAAATTAATCTTCCTGGAAAATACAAATCTCCAAGGCCAATCAAAGCCAATGAATTGAGAGATATTGAATAACTTTTAAAATATGTATCAGCTGTATATAATGATTTCTTCAAGAGTCTCTCTTCTGAAACTGATCAGGAAGGTCATGACCAAATGATTATTTTTTTGACATACTTAATTATGTATAATCACAATATTGTGGTAATTATTTTTATTTTGTCCTTAATATTTTATTTCTTCTATATTCTAATATGGTCATGACATACATGGCTTGCATCAAACTGCTTATGTTCAAAACAATAATTTTTATAACATTTATGTTCAATAATTTCCTACACAAGCCATCATATGTTTTTTAAATTTCTGTACTATTAAAGTAGTAAATAAATGTATACTTCTGTAATTTCAAGAATTATTTCTCATCTTATGGCAGTTTTTTCTTGCATGGCAGAAAAAACAACAGAGAAAGTACTGATTAAAACAAAATGAATGTACAGGAAGAATATGAAAAATTGGAGCATGTCAACTTTCAATAACAATATTTAAGATTCTAATGAAGAAGGATTAGACCACTGTTACGTTCGACTTTTCAATTGAAATCATAGTTGCCAACTCAGATTTACTTAACAGTCGCTTCCGTTGGTTTTGTCGCCATCATCACTCAGAATACGTGGCAAAAGTCGGGAAACTGTCTAACCCGTTTAATAATAATAATAATAATAATAATAATAATAATAATAATAATAATAATAATAATAATAATAATGATGATGATGATAATAATAACAAAAACAACCGAAAACTGCTTACAATGTATTATTTCGCCCACCCTCGAGTAGATTGTACATGTACTTTATGTGTCACGTAAGAAGAGAGGAAGAGGCCTCCTGTTGGAACATCTACATCTACCGCTAATTTTTCCTTAATATTTCGTGGCCTACGTGAGTGAATGGTTTAGTTCCCTGCTCAGCTCCTAGGATCGTCGTCTATTCTTCATGGTCGATAACTCCGGCCAATGAACTTCACATGAAAACTCACATAAATAGCACGCAAGAGCAAGCACTCATCGCACTCGACCAACGGGTGAAGTATAAGCGACCTATACAATTCCTGGCATAAGAAATCTGAAAAAGAGAAATGAGCCTTGAAACATAAACTTTGTATTTCTGCAAAGCATTGCTTCAAATGGAGCTCTTCCTACGTGCGGCGGATTCGCACTGCTGGGTCTTTTGGCGGCGAACGCTCGACACGAGCAGCCCACGACGGCGCGGCGTACGCACTACTAGCAAAGCATTGGTTTAAATGGAGATTTTCGTCGTTGGCGATGGGTCGACGAAACATATTACGGCGGGCATATTTTATTAATGTTAGAGCATATTCGCCAGCATATTTCTCCTCTCGATACATATTAACTACTGAATCTTAGTCATAACCAAGGAATCATCTTCAATACAAGATTTTGGAAATCGAGATCAGATAAATGTGGGTCGTAAAAGCACAGGTTCTCACGATTGTTATCGGAACTCTGGGATTTGTTCTGCAAAATTTGGGTAATAACTTGGCTAAACTCCCAGGTCATTGAAAAGACTAGAAAGTGTAAGACATTGCTTTATTGGGAACTGCCCTCATTTTGTGCACGAAATTGCAGAGGCTCCGACAGACTCTGAATCTGCTCCTTAGGGAGCTCGTTGCAATCTGGAGTAGATTTTATATTCAATCAATTCATAACATGTACAAATAATAATCACAACAGAGAAATCATTATTATTATTATTATTATTATTATTATTATTATTGTTGTTGTTATTGTTATTATTATAGTAATAATAAAATAGTATTAGTTAATGGCGAGGCATAAGCCATTAGGGTAGTTCTTTCTAACCAAAAAAGCTTATAAATAAAAACATTTTACAATACTGAACATATCTAATGTCAACTGGCAATCTAAATTAGGTCACAAAATACTGGTAGGAATATATAAGAAAAAGTTTTTGTTTAGGGAGGGTAAAACATTAAATATTAACTTCAGAATATCCTACCCAATAAAAAACATTTTTAGAAATTGATTTTAAAAAAACCTGAGTTAATTCATACTGTATTTGAAAACTATACCTTTCCATGATGTCTATGTCGCCGGCGTGGCTCAGGTTGCTGTATCTTCTGCTGCTCCTGCTGAGGCGGTTCTTGACTGTGTTGCGGAGACGAAACAAGAGGTGTATGCGGAGACACATGCTCAAAAGAGCTACATGAGTGACAACCAGAGGTAACTTCTGATAATGCACGCTTATGTGAATCAGCACTAATACTGGAACAGTTTCCTTCTTCTGCTTCTTCTGCCTGTTCTACTTCTTCTCCAACAGCAATCGAATAAGGACCTTCAGGAGATAGAAGTACAGGGCAAAGAAGTGGTAGAAGTGGAGGTGGAGGTGGTGGTGGTGGTGGTGGTGGTGGTGGTGGTGGTGGAGGTGGTGGTGGTGAAGACTGTAAGGGTAGTGACGGTGATAGAGGTGGGGGTGGGGGTTGGGGAGGAGGTGGCTCAATTGGCCCTGGACTAGTGGCTGTATGGAAAGTGTCAGCTGTGTCCAGAGAACTGGAGGGAGTACGTGATGCAGGATTTGGTGCACCTGCACTAGAAATGCAAGGATGTGGTGATGCCTCAGAGATACTGGCTGTACTGACTGTGCTGGCTGAGCTATCAGCACTAGTGCACTCATCATCCTCGGTAGACACAGTGCCAACTGTAGCTTCCTCACTGGGAATCTCTCCACAAATTGCTGGACGAGCAGCACGTCTTAAATCCAAGGACAGCCTATAATGTGACAAAATTTGTTATATAAAATAAGAAAATTCTATACCATTAGGTACAATGAAATAATGATACAGAAAATAGGATTTTATCAGAAGAGGAGACATTAAAGAATATAGTTCCCTAGAGAGGAATTAGAATGAACTACAACAAATAGTAAATGGAAGATTGAAAGTTTTGATCAAAAGTTGATAAAAGAAGAATTAATAGATAGAAGGGGGTAATGAGATTAAAACGTGAAACTAGTGGGGCTTCAAAAACACATACTTTCTCGCATCATTACTCTGTTATATTATACTACTTCATAAACTTGCATAAGTATTTTCAATCAGCAACAATTTATTTCCGCTCCAACATGAACTCAGATCCTCAGAGCCAACTTGGCGACACCCATACCACTAAGCCACTGTGGCGCCATATGGAAACAGCCTTCGAAAGGGTGAGACGAAATAATATTTGGAAGCATTCGTGTTTATAATGTACTTAAATTTGATGATGATAGATTCATTAGTTTATTTAAATCGGTTCATGCAGATGCACAAAACGACAACAATTGATTTGATGTGACATACGTTTTAGAAATCGAATAAGAGAGAGTTGAAAAAATGTTTTAAAGTTGCAAATTGAAAAAGCACATACAGAAGATCCGGTTTATTTAGCTGTATTGATTGTATTTGTTAGTAGAAGTGCTTCAAACGATTTTCAAGTAAGTTTCTCACATTCTAAATAGTTTTCTGCAACAATAAATTCATCAAATTAAAATCCCTGTGCGAACCCGCCGATCTTTTGGTTCGAAGAGCTGAATCCATTCACTCCATTTAACATCAGCCATTCGGGGCGGACAAAACCTCTACACATTTCAATTTTGTGCGGTGGGGGTTTTGAAATTTTTTTTCCTTCGAAATCGCATAAATATCACACTAATAAAGCGAAAAAAGCTATTTTTTTTCAACAAAAAACAACTTTTTTAAAGAGCTACTTTTCTACAACAGACCTAGTTGAAAGCAAAGATCGCTATCTGTAATTTCGTAGTTTTGAAATGTGCACTTACGAGCATTTTCGAAAAACCGGAACAATAGCCGAACATGGGACTAGCATTATACTTTTTATTGTCGTTTATTACATATGAGGAGAGAATTTAAAGAAAATCATTTGAAGCGGTTTTTGAGAAAAAATGCCTATATTTCGTGCACATTCCACGGAAACTACACATATTTTCGAAAAATTGAACATGAACTTATTTAAAGATCCATTTATGGAACAGATTTCATTAAGGAAACAAAACTCTATCATCAATACAATCGTTGTAGGAAGACCCCTCCAAAAAATTGCGCTTTTTCAATTTTCAAAAAAATCTGATTTTAACGAACATGAGACCTCCACCATTCTCTTTACCTTTAAATGACAAGACTGTGTCGTACATGACACCTACCGGAGTTCTTTCCGCGCATGGGCGTCATTTCGCGTCGATTGTGGCTCTATCCCTCCCCACTTGTAGCACTCTTGAGTTCACTCAAGAGTGAGTGTCATATGTGACACAGCCTTGTTGTATATGTTACAAATTTTGCAGACTATTCAAAAATGAATTCGCGTTTTGAAACTGACGAAGTAATTCGAAACGAGCTTCTGAGACAATTAGAAGAGTTAGATGTAATTGACAATAGTGCAAGTGACTCGGGAAGTGAAACTGAAGACGTTTTATCGGAAGAGTTATTTATTTTATTTTATTTACTTATATTTATATTCTACAAAGCGAACGGGATATACCCAACGATTGGCTTATGTTTAACAAAAATCAAGTCATTTGACAAAGTAATATTAAATAAAAATAACAGCAACTAGTTACAATAAATGCAAAAAAAATCAACTAAAATGAACTAACTAAACTCAACTAAAATGAATGGCGATGGATTATATACGGAAAAGAAAATGAGCTAATCTATCTATTGTTGTACGTCAAGTTATGAAGAGGGCGACGCGTTTTTGGCGGAAACGACGCAGATGAAGGTGTGGGTTTTGATTTAGATGACAGAAATTATATTTTCGGTAATGATAATGAAACAATGTGGACGGATACTCCTTAATCTAGTCAATATTCAAGAACTCCAATAATGTCATCCACATTCCTGGATCAAAAGGGCGAGCCAAAAACCTGACCAAAACTGACGAGTTTTTAATTTTTTTTCTTTTCTGAAGAAATGATTGAGTACTTTGTTGTTTACACGAACGAAGACATGGAAAGACTTGCTCCGAAATACACAACAAAACAATGGTGCCTGTCAAACACTGAGGCTATGGAAGTGAAAGCCTTCCTTGGTTTATTGTTGATGGCTGGAGTTCTTAAGAGCTCAAATTTAACAATAGGAGATATATTTTCCGCATATTTGGCCCACAAATTCAGTGTTTGTCGAAATTGTGTAATGTCCGAAAATAGGTTTGATTTTATAATGATTTTGCTTTTGTGATGGTTGGCCTGATTGTTTCTGTGAAGAAGGAAATGAAGTTGCATGTTATCTTTTTATTTTTCCTGCAAATAAATTTTATTGAAGCAAAGAGTTTCTAATTTTTCTTATTTATTGACATTATAAATATGTGAAAGGACATGAATATGAGAACTAGAGACAATTAATCAACCGAAATACCGAAGAGAAGTAATTTACGCTGTACAGCCTTGTCAAATTGTCACTCAGAGAAGCCTTGTTGTTCGAAGTTTAAGGCTAAACAGTCGTTCCCTTCACCGTCAGCCGCCGCAAAGAGGGCAAATTTCGCATTTCCGGTAGTAGGTGGTATCAAAAGAGTACCAAAATTTATTTTCGGGTACTACTGGACAACAAAAAAGCGACGAATTCCCATGTAATTATTTTTTTATTTATAATTTCTTCGTTTTCTGGTACTTGCGGTACTAACTTGGTGTCCAGTTTGCCAATTGTTTATTGCAGGGTCAAATGAAGAGAGGTTTTTTTACATAACAAATTAGCAACAAAAAAAATAAAAAAAATCGAGTTTAATTCCAATTTCTTTAAATTTTGCTTTGCTAATTATATGGACCTCAAGAGGAGGAGGTCCAGGAATTCCAAATCCGACGCGGCACTGGAATTGGGGTTCTCAAATAGACAACATTGCGAATGCCCTTACCAAGTTCACTAATTTCGCTAATAACCTTTTTCGCTTTATACTTCCAGCACCATCTCCGCTATCGCTACTACTGATCTTTCTTGAGCCACCAAATCACCTCAGTTTATGGGACTTGTTCGAAGGATGATCAGGTAAAAATCGGAAAAATTTGGAAACGCACAATTTTTCAAGATTTATGCAGTTATATACTTCGGTTATAGAGGATTCGAGAATGTCTGCCAGAATTATAGCACCAGTAGTGTGATTTGTGAAATAAAAGAACTAGTGATGCTACTGAATGGCACAGGCGTTCTCGGAGTAGTTCGTTTCCCTATTTCTTTGCACTGGACTATATTTTCGGTTTTACTCCACCCTCTTCCCAGCTGTCATCCATTGCACCTAAAGATAATTTTTCACTTTTTTTTCAATTTTTCGTAACCCTAAAGATAGAACCGAAACACGACTTCAAGAATACTATAGAAATATAAAACCTCGTCATACATCAGTTACCTCAGTAGCGGGAAGTGCACGTCAGTGACTGAGATCAGCGAAAACAGTTTCCTTAATTTCCGAGAAACATTGCCGATAATCGACATGTAACTCTTCGCAGAGAATGCTACACGCTGCAGTGATAGTTTGCTGGTCGTAGATTTCGCCAGCTTGTAGGATGGTTTCTATTGCGTCTAGTCTGGCTACTGAATAGCAGTAGATGAAAGTTTTACAACTGACAAAGTCGTATGGTACATGGATCAATTTGTACTCTTCAAAATATTTTTAAAACGTTTGTATAACTTTTAAAATTTATATCGTTATAAATGTAATTTCGTATTATGTAAATGTTCCTTTTATAATAGTGTATTTTAATATTACATGTTTCATCCTATTTTACATATTCTTACTGTTTTCATTACATATTTATAGACATATTTCGACGCTTCGTATTACATATTTTTTGTTTCTATTCATGAGACATTAATTAAACAAACGCAATAATGTATAGAAGTAGCTGGTAATGCAAATATTAAGGACGAGAGAAAAATGTCAAAAAAGTGTAAGTTTTGAAAAATAAGAAAAGAATAAAGCAATGCGACGTTTATGCTATCTTACACCGGACGATTAGAAACATCCCTACACAATTTTGGAAAAAAATTGGAGCCGTTTTTGAGTAATCCTGGTTTTTAGTATTTTTTGTGATGCACATATTTCACGCAATATTACACGAAAACTACTAACATGTTCAAAGAAATGTGCATGACGTCAATGAAGGAACTAATTAGGGAAAACAAATTTAATTTATTTCAATCTATTTTTACAACAACCGCGAAGAAAAAAATGGAGACATTTTTTAGAAAATATAAAAATAGTCTTTAGGGAGTCATTTAAAGTATCCACAAATTTTAAACAATATTTTTCGAACTCATAAAGCTTTGAGACACACCAGATCGACCAGTGAATATTCACTTTCGATAAAATTCTAGGAATGCTTGTAGTTTCGGCCCTAGTGTTGTTCGTAGACAGTCGGACTTTTTGATTTAAAAAACAAACAAAAAAACAAACTTTTTCGATATCAGAGGGCCCCAAAACATACATTTAGTTGAAATCTCAAAATCGATTTTTTGCATCATTAAATAACTTTTGCTATACTATATATATTACTCAGTATATACGTAAGTATACAAGAATGTAAAACCTCTGTTGGGATGCGGAAAATAGCGAAATCATTATCTGACAAATCCCAGTCGAGCCACAAGAGAACCGCCTGCTCCCTGCCTCGCTTCCAGCACGCTCCTCCAACTTCTTACGAAATGTTTCCATGTCCCTTGGAGGCGGAGGCGGCAGCGCGGCATGGGGGAGGGGGGCATTGTATTTTGCCTAATTTCACTTAACGA